CACACACACACACACACACACACACACACACACACACACACACACACACACACACACAGCCAGCCTTAAATAACTTTTAATCAAGTTTCAAGGTGTGAAGTTTCGAGACGACTTGCGTTGAGGCTCATAAAGCGCTCAGGAAAGAGACATGTCGTGAACTGATAAGAGTTCTTACTGCACCGTCTTAATCTCTAAAGCTTTGGACAGAGCAAAAAATAATAATGCACCTCTGTACTTACGGTGTAATTGCAGTAAAATAATCCCACACCTAGAAAAAAATAACACGTTTATCAAGGAACATTTTTGATTAAAACTGAAAACAAACTGCAATAAAATATGTCCAATTTTTGACTTAAATATGATCCAAGTGTAAACACAATTCTAAAAAACATAAAAAAAAAAGCTAAAACATCTCATTGTTAATTAGTTTGCTGTAGTTTYGGGAGCCTACATTGCTCCGTATTCTTGAAACAGCTCCCTCCTGGAGCCGTTTGTGCTGGGAGGCTACACAGAGAGCCGAAAGGAAAGGCTTGCTCCTCTGTATGTTGTGTGTGTCGAGCTCTTTGAGCTGAGGCCTGTCTTGCACAAGTACGTTCTAGCTGGAGGCTAACGCTACTGCGTGCATTTCGGTTACACTCGCTTGCACAGAGCAAATGCTCTTAATAACCATTTAGCTACTAAGGCACGCTTGTCTGTCTTCTATTCACAGCCTTAGCCACTAATTACATTCCCAAAGTAATGGACAGTGCTGTGTTCCCTCAATGCTTCCCTTTTTTCTTTGTACAATCAGCCAGCTGCCTTCACTAGTAGGAATTGGTGGTCACTGCAGACCTGAGATGAATTTACAAAAGTAAACCCGTGTCAACCCATTCTTTAGTGCAATGTTTCAATTTGCGAGGGTCTCTTGATGTTAAAAAGATCTTTGTTTTTATTTTTAAGGATTAAGAAATCCTGTGGTCCTTCAATTAGGAACTAAGCATGCATGCTAAATAAATAAAAAACATGGAGTGCAAAAGAAATTGATTTGCTGCAATGTTGACAGATGTCTGCATATTTTGTAAATACGTAAAAAATATCACAACTAATATATTTTTATATCACAATAAACATTTTCATAAAAGAAGAGAAAAATTTAACACAAAAGAATAGTAAGTGTCATAAAGATACTGCAAAAAAACAAATGTGAAGGAGAATTGCCAAAAAAAAACCTGAAGGGGCTTGACAAGCGGCAATCTCCAAAAAAGAAATAACGAAAATTACATAAATTTAAAAATCCATACATTACAAAAAATAAAACACTACTCTATATAAACAGAAAAAAAGGAAAAAAATGCTTTCAGTAATCAAACCCATAAGGGAAACCAGAACAACTCAAGAGTAACAATCTGATTCTTTGCTTAAAAATCTCTTTGGAAACTTCCAGGAGAGATCCTGGAACTACTTAGTAAAAGGTATACTGTATTTTTATTTGTAATTATGTAAAAAAAAAATGTTAGGGAGACTGGACTCAACATTGCATAACAAAAGTAAAACTGAATCAGCAAGTACGACTTTGGGTATTAGCCAGTTTTTAGCTTCATGTCTATACTATGATGTTAAAATGTCACAGTTTCAGAGCACTGCGTAAAGAAGACCAATTAAAATGTAATTGCATTTTGGTGAATATCAAAAATAGTTTTTCTCTGAAATAAAAGAAATGTCAAAATGCACAACAGAAACCTTTTAACTATAAGTTTTCAAGTTTCCATCTACAAATCTGTAAAATGAAAATGTATGCTTTGTGATTGGTTCTTTACCTACTTCAGCTAACCATCTGAGTGATTTTTATCACACRCTGTGGTTTTTCTCCTTTTTACAGTAAGCACAAACACAGGAACGGGCCAAAACAAGCTGATTACCATAGTGTTGTATCATCAAAATTCTTTTCTAATCGAAGCCCTGAAACCGTTTAATCTCATCATCAGATAAGACACACCAACGGAAGAAGGTGATTAAGGTTGACTATTTATAGAATGGTTCTTCGCATAGAGGATTCCAGAAAACAAAAACCATGTTTGAAGTGATTAGGCTTCTTATTATGGGCTCCACATACCTTGTACATTGTGAGAAAGCTGTCACGCTTGGATAGACAAGGCAGACAGTCTTTCACTGCCTCTACCAGACAACTGAGGGAGCCGAAGGCCACTAATAGAAGTGACATGAATACAAAGCAAACGTGAGTCTAAAGTGAGCACAGTTCATTTTCCCACTGTGAATTGTGCAATTTCCTTGCCTAAATCCCCCCCACCTCTTTTTTTTCTCCTCGACTCGCAACTGCAGCACCAAAGACAAAATATTCCATCAATGTAATAATTTTCAGAGCTGCAATGCACTCCAGCGGCAGAGGGACCGAGCGCGTTATTTGCAAGGTGTTGTTCTTGGACCTGTAAATACGGGTGCTCCCTCCCCGAGCCATTTCAGTCAGGTGCCCTCAACCCGAGCACGCAACCCAAATTTCCCTTTGGAACGGCTTGACAGTCGACTACGGACTGTGTTTGCATTAGTGTGGATGTGTGAAGCTGAAAGTGCAGAAGTTCTCTGGCAGAACATGCTTATCTGACCTCTTCACTTCCCACAAAACAAAAAAAATTACATCATCAGAACCAAGGTTTACATAAATGTGAATGCATGAATTTATAATGCACACAACTATATGCATATTCGTATATGGCAAACACTTTTTAAAAAAATAGTTACTTTATTATTTTTAGTCACACACAGTCAGGTACAACATCATAATCTAACATTAACCATCTGAACAWTAAATCCCTTTGCCATATGTCAGTGTTTTTTTTTCCTTTTCTCCCTAATGCATTAGTTTAATTACAGTTATTAAGAGCGATGAAAACATACAGTTCAGGCACACCATTACATGAATACTAAAAAAAAACTAAATCAACTCTTCTAGCTGCAGCAGTGAGAAAAGTGCAAAGGTTGCCAGAAAATAGTGGACAAAAAAAAGTAGTGGGGAGGGGGGGATGACAGGCAAGTCAGTGTGGAGTTGAGCTGTCTCCCCCCCACATACTTCAAGCTCTGGCCAGACCATAAATATGAGCTCACCTGAATAGGACCAGTAGGGGTCACCAGCTGTCCTCCTCTCCCTCATTACGCCTGTGTTCCCAGGATGGCTGCCTCCAGTGAAGCGAGGTTGGTCACCCGATGCAACTGAGGGGGGGGGCAGAGATAGAGGTCAGAAAATCCACTGGGACCGGATAAAAAATAAATAAAAAGAAGAAAATAAAAGGTACAAAAATAAAAAAGGTTTCTTTTCCTGCCTTACTAAACAGCATAAAACAGATTCAGTTATCTTTTTAGATGCCTAAAGAGCCGAAAGAGTTTTTTTTACTCACTCAAAAAATAAAATTAGCATACATCTTTATTCAAGAAGAACAAACAGCAAATCATCAACATCATCTGAAACCCTGCTCACACTTAGCTCAAAACGTCTCAGCTAAGCGTTAACTCGTCAGTGTAGTAGGATGAACACAGAGACACAAACAAGCAGTCAGACTCACACCTATGGAAGATTTGGAAACACCAATTAACTTAACATGTTTTTGAACTGTGGGATGTAACAGGATCACATGGAGAAAATCTCAACAACCTCTGCGGGATCACGTAAACGCCACACAGGAGCTCAGTCGAGGTTGGAACAAGCCTTTTAGCTGTAAGCCAACTATCCATGCAGACCGTGATGCTACATGTCAACTGTTTTTTTATTTTAAACCTGCCAACACCTTTCTGAAAATCACTCTGCTTCTCCAGTCACATAAAGAAAAAAATCTTTTGAAAACTATATGAACATAAACATGTAATCAAAAGCATCATTTCAGAGCAGTCACACTGTCAAGGCTGTTTGAAATTCAAATGTATCTGCATTCATACTGGCCTTACTGGCCACTCGATGAAACAAGAGCTTTTTCAGAAAATACCTCCAAATTACCATCAATTATCCCATTGACTGACCAGCTACTCAATTAATTCATGACCTTCACGTCTCTTTGAGCTATTTTGACAAAAAAAAATCTGTTTTGCGAAATGCAAGGCTTCAGAGCCTAAAATGGAAAAAATAGCAAAAAGCAACAATGGTGATGATCTGAACAAAAAAAATGTGTGCTTTCAATCCAGGTGCCATGGTTTGACACAAAGCTTTAATGGGTGGTAATTACCACCACCAGGATATCAGGGCTCTGCAGAAAACAAGGGGAGTCTCTCCAACAGCCCATCTGATTGCTTCCTGCCCTCTTCCACTTAAAATCCATCACATCCTTTACAGCAGCACTTCATCTGGGAAAGACAAAGGGTTAAAAAAAAGGCTGGATGGTCAATATAATAACATAACATATGCATGACTGAACTGAAGTTACAACAGCTTTCCTTCTGAGCTTCTACCTAATAAATCTAATTAGTGAGATGCAGGCAGTTTGTGCAGCCAAGGGTGTAGAGATGATCATCCCCATGTCTTATAGGCACAAATGTCTCTTTAACTTCAATGAAGGATCGCCTGAAATCAAACACTGTCAACAGAGCTATAGCAAATGCTAGGAGCACAAATTGTCCTTTAGCATACACGCTCCCTAGAGCATCGCCTCAGACTTACAACAATCAAACTCACCCGGGAAAATTTGCTGTGCAACGGATGCAGCCAGTGCCAGCGGAGAAGAAAATGTCTAGCCCATGTCATTGTCAATCAGGGGCACAAGCAAAACAAGAGTGTTTTGTTTTGCTTTAAGCAGCTGAAACTTGCCGTGGCATTCAAAACCTGGAGATCTGCTAATATTGTTCCCTGTAGCTAGAGGGGCGCAAACAAATGGGGAAGCAGATTGTTTCTGTGTAAAAAGAACAGCAGGGAAAGCTAAAACAAAACCTATGACAATCTTCTGCTCTTAAAAGGAGGCAACAAAGTTTGAGATTTTTTTATTCTTTTACTAAGTGCTGTAACAGATTTATATTTTTTTATTCAACTGGTTACACATTGTACTCAAAAACTGGCATGATTTCCGTTGTAACATGCAGCTTGCACAACATTAAAGCTCAAAACACACTAATGCTACCGAAACAATGTTTTCACGTGTGTCTTGATTTTATTCTCACACAACTTGTGCTCTACACTGTAATTTAGTGGGATTTCCTGTGAGCTTAAAAGCTTTAAAATCTCTGTTTTCTTGCTTTGTAACTATGACAACTCTATCGCTCTTATCACAAGTCTCAAGAGGTTTCAGGTAACTTTGCTACAGTAGCAGAGCTCCCAAGCCTCTTGACACTCAGCTGCCTTTAGAATAAGTATGAAGTTTGATTGGCTTGTCAACACATCAAACACAAACTTATCTAAAGTGGCTGAATGAAAGGCAACTAAACTTCGAGGGTGTGAGGGTGGGTTCAGGGTTATTAATTGTTATTTAAACTTTCATTATTTAAGCTCCTGAATGTGAGATATTCAGGCACATTTGAAAAAGCAAGCAGTTGGAAACCGCCTGGGGAATCGAGTCAAGGCTTTGACGGTATAAAAACACCTTACCACCATTTTAGCACCTCTGGTTAGGAAACGTCCCACGTCACATAGAGAGATTCACTGATTTTCCAACACCAAGTTCAACACCTGAAACCTGCCCCAGGTGATATCATCCTGTCATCGGATGTCACCTCATTTTTCACGTGCAACAGAGACTGTCAAGAAACAAATTCATCAAGATAGCTTTTTGAACAACAGGACCTCCAACGTCACCCCTGACCAGATCTGTACCCTGCTGGACCTGTGCCTCCAGACTCTCATCCAAATGAAAAATGACGTGAATGAGACAAGTGCTCTCTGGTGTCACCTAGAGTTTGACTGATATGGGGTTTTCATAGTTATTGTCAAGCTTTAAAGAGTCCAGAAGTAAATGGCCACTATGTAAAGTCATTTTTGTTTGTTTTTGGGACAATACTATATACAAGTGTGCAGGAGTGTGGATCACATACAATAGTGAGGTTGAGCTAAAAATATACAGAGCTGGCCACTGATGATTATATATCTTTAAATGGCAATAAACTTAATAAACAACCAATCTATAAATCAGTCTAACTCTAGAGTCATCTAAYGGGGCCCAGCGTTTCCCCTGCCATTTATTCAAGGGGGGCGGGCCCCCCCGCCAACAAGACGGCCCATCCCTCCAAGAATTTCACAGCATGTAGTCATTTTTATTTAAATAAGGCCAGATCAAGTCGAGAGCTATTTTTGCGCCACTCCATATCCACCTCTCGCCAAATTTGGGGAAAGATTATAATTGGTCTTTAAAATGGGGTAAACAAATTATTCTCACTGACTTAGAGGAAGTTTTTTTTGATAGTTGCATTTTTAACTGTTATCCTTTATATCTACAAGAGTTGAAGTTCTTCTAGGGTTCTAATGATTCTTAGAAAGTAGTGCTGGGCGGTATGACCAAAATTTTATATCACGGTATTTTCATCATTTACACCGGTTTCACGGTATATCATGGTATTTTTCTTTTCATCACAGGTCAGCTGATAATAAAATGTACAAACACCGCTTATTAACTTTTTTCTTTTACTGTACCTCTGTCTGTGTCGCTGTTTCCCTCGTCTAAACGTCTTTTCTTTTCTTCATGGTTGGAGACAGTAGTAATGCATTTTGGTCCGACCGTGAGGTCGGAAGGTTAAAAAAAGATTATTATCGGGTCTATTGTTTTATGTTATTT